GCCACCCTGGCGACTCTCCCTCGAGTCCCCGTGGCTGGTCCATCCATTTCTCTTTTCTGCCTCCCCTCCCCGGCCGCTCCTGGCTCCGCCTCTGCAGCGGCAGCAGTGGCAGTGGCGGTGGCTGCGGCTTGGGGTTGCGGCACTGGCGGGGCTGAAGGTCTAGGGGTAGCTGACTGGTATGGGGGTGGAAATTATCTCTTCCAAGTTAGAATCAGAGAGAATGGGGTAAAAGGGGTTCTTTGGGGACTTATGGAAGGGATTCTGCTTCTCCCGAGGCTGTGATGATACACTCTCCGGCGGCTCCGAAGGTTCTGCCCCCTTTTCCTGTAACGTGAGCACTCTCGATGCCTTTAATGGGGTAGGAAGGTAGGGTTTCACCCAAGGGGGAGGGGATTCCACTATATCTTGCCAGACCAGTATATAAGGTAGTTGGTTTGGGTGTCCCTGGGAGCCTCTTTGGAGGATGACATTCTTGACCTGCAAGAGAACACTTGTTAGAAAGGTCCCTTCTCGTGGCCAGCCTACATTGAAGGCGGGCCACTCAGTGGCGCACAAATCCTGGAATTTCTTTTTGTGAATTTCGACACTCAAATTGTGCACCCTTTCCTTTAGTTCTGAAAAGTGATCAGTCATGAGAGTTAACAGTGTTGTCTGTGCCTGCCCCATCTCATTCGTAAGTACTGTCGTTACAACAAACACAACCAAGACAAAAGGGAAAACGACAAGAGACAGACAGTAGCAGCCGTGAAAACAAATCTGAAAGTACGATAGGGCAGAGACAGACCATCGACAAGTCTGACCTTCCCCACAGATGAAGACCTCGTCTTCCGGATGGGGTCGTGGGACATCTCCCACGAGCCCCGGCCGGTGGCTTTCTAGCGCATCCGCCTAGCCTGATGCCGACCTCAGAACAAAGTGTGAAGCTCCACCTGAGATACAGGACACAGATGCGCTAACCCGGGAGCGACTTACCAAATGCTGGCCTGAGAACCCTCCAGGCTGGGGTCTCGGGGGGGGGGGGGGTCTCTGGGATCCCGGACGAGCCCCCAAATGTAGTGGCCGAATGTTCAATCTGAGAGACCACCAAGAACCAATTCTGATGAAAGTTCAAGAGAGTCTTCATTTGCAAGCTTGAGCCTGGACCTGTGTCGACAACCGACGCAGCGGAGTACACCCAGAGGCCCTGACTTCCTTAAGCAGACACTTTTTATGTTTTTACACAAAGGGAGGAGGAGTTTGGGGGGACTTTCCAGTCTTGTTGCCATTTAATTGGGTAGTAACCTCCGGTGGTCAGCTCAATCGTGGAGAATTGGCTAGCTTGACTCGGGCTGACCTTGGCCCACTAGCTGGGGAAGTTGCAGAGACATTTGGAAACTTTAGGTGATTTTCCTCTGGCACCTGATTGGTTGTTGCTAAGGGGAAAGTGGGTCAAGGGAAGGGGTTGAAGCGTGAACTGGAGCTTTGCAGTTTTTCCCATAACTGAAACTTTAAACAGCTACAGGTTACGTTTTAAAGCAGAAAACTAAAATGGCTGTGCTATTGTCCACAAGCTGATTACATATTTATTGGGTTATAGCATGCTCTTAACCTAAGTTTATGGTATACTCTATTATGGTTCTCTCAGTATAATAAATACTTAAGTGTAAGATTGTTGGCCTATGTGCTAATGTATATTTAAGTTTTTTTTTTAACTGCCACTGTTTTCCAAAGTGATTGTACCATTTTGCATTCCCACCAGCAATATACTATATGAGGGTTTTGCTTTCCCAACATTCTCCTCAACACTTTGGCATTGTCATGCTTTTTTTTTTTTTGGCATTGGAGTCTCATTCACCCAGGCAGGAGTGCAGCAGCATGTTCACAGCCACCACAGCCTCAACCTGCTGGACTCAGGTGATCCTTCTGCCTCAGCCTTCTGAGTAGCTGGAACTACAAGTGTGCACCACCACGCCCAGCTAATTTTTTGATTTATTGTAGAGACAAGGTCTTGACAAGTTGCCCAGGCTGGTCTCAAACCCCTGAGCTCAGGCAATCCTCTAGTCTCCTCCTCCCAAAGTGCTGAGATTACAGTTGTGAGCCATCACATCCAGCTATCATGCTTTTTATCATTTGATTCATCCTTATCAGAGGTGGTATCTTGTTGTGGTTTTAACTTGCATTTCCCTAATGCAATGACTAATGATGTTGAGAAATGTTTTTTTCCACATTGCCCAGGCTGGAGTGTCGTGGCATGCTCACAGCCACCCCAGCATCGACCTGCTGGGCCCAGGCAATCCTTCCGCCACAGCCTTCCAAGTAGCTAGAACTACAGGCATGCACTACTACTCCCGCTGAGTTTTTTTTTATTTGTTGTAGAGACAAGGTCTCACCAAGTTGCCCAGGCTGGTCTCAAACCCGTGGGCTTAGGAAATCCACTTACCTCAGCCTCCCAAAGTGTTGGATTACAGGCTGAGCCACTGAGCCCAGCAGAGAATATTTTTATGTGCATACTCACTATTTGCATATCTTCTTTAGTGATGTATTTGAATCTTACCCATTTAAAAAATTGGGCTGTTTGTCTTCTTGTTGAATAATAATTGTTTTATATATTTCAGATACAAGTCCTTTATCAAATATGTTTGCAAGTAATTTTTTTCCAGTCATTGATTTTCAGTGCATTTTCTTTTGTTGTTGTTTTTCAATACCCAATTGTGCACTTAAAAAAAATTTTTTTTATTCTTTTAAAGTCAGAATTTTGCTAGGTTGCCCATGCTGGACTTGAACTCCTAGGTTCAAGCAGTCTTTCCACCTCAGCCTCTCAATCAATTCATCTTCTTTTATGTCTATATTTGTAAGGAATGTTGATTTGTGGTACTTTTTTCTGATAATTATTCTCTGGCATCAAAATAATGCTAACCCCATAAAATTATTTGAGAAGTGTACCTTACTATTCAATTTTCTGAAAGAGTTTTTATAGAATTGCTTTTTCTCCCCCTTAAATGTTTAGCAGAATTCACTGATTAAGCCAGCTGGGGTTAAAGTTTTCTTTGAGGGAAAGGTTTTTCATTACAAATCCAATTTCTTTAGTAGATGTATGGCTTTTCAGGTTATTTCTTATATCAAAGCTCACTGCTTTGATAGTTGTGTCTCTCAAGGAGTTTGTCCACATAATCTAATTTATCCACTTTATTGGCATAAAATTTTTTCATAATACTCCATCATATTATTCTATTATTCCCACTATAGAGTCTGTCGTGATGTCCCCTCTCTTATTCCTGATATTGGTAATGTGTGTCTTTTCTCTTTTCTTTCTGGTGAAAATGGCTAGAGTTTTATCAATTTTATTAATCTTTTCAAAACACCAGTTTTTATAGTTGCATTAATTTTTTTCTATTTTTGTTTGTTTTCTATTCTATTGATTTCTATTTTTTTTTTTTTTTTTTTTAAGCAGGATTTATTGAGAAGACAGAAAAGCTCCCAGAGCAGGAGGGGACCCAAGGGAGTTACCCTGTTGATTTCTATTCTTATCCTTATTATTTCCTTCTTTTTGCTTCTTTTAGATTCTTCTTTCTTTCCTAGTTTTTTCCTCTAAGCCCTAATTTAGCAGCATCCCCCAAATTTTGATATGTCATGTTTCATTTTTCTCTGTTCAAAATATTTCAAGTTTTCATTGTGATTTCTTCTTTTACACATGGTTATATGGAAGTATGTTGTTTAATTTACAAAATATTGGGAAATTTTCCAAAGATCTCTCAATTATTGATTTATAGTTTAATTTCATTGTGACCAGAGAACATATTTTGTATGATTTTAATCTTCTTAGGTTTATTGATATTTGTCTTTGGGCCCAAATGATGGTTTATATGGTCATTGTTCCATATGCATCTAGAAATCATATATCCTGTTGTTGCTGGGTAAAGTGTTCTATGGATGTCAATTAAGTCAAGTCAGTTGATAGTGTTTTTCAAAACCTGTATATTCTTACTTTTTTTTCTACTGCAAGAGAAATGTTGAAATCTGCAACTATAATTGTGAATTTATCTATTTTTCCTTTCAGTTCTGAAGTTTTTTGCTTCATGTATTTTGAAGCAATGCTATTAAATGTACACATATTTATAGTTATGTCCCTTTTATTAATTGATGCTTTTATCATTATGAAATGTCCCTCCCAGGACAAGCGCAGTGGCTCAAGCCTGTAATCCCAGCAATTTGAGAGGCCAAGGCGAGAGAATTGCCTGAGCCCAGGGGTTCAAGACCAGCCTGGGCAACTTGGTGAGACTTCATCTCTACAATAAATCAAGAAAAATTAGCCAGGTGTGGTGGCATACGCCTGTAGTTCCAGCTACTTGGAAGGCTGAGGCAGAAGGATCACCTGAGCCTAACAGATCATGGCTGCAGTGGCCATGAGCGTGCCACTGCACTCCAGCCTGGGTGAGAGAGTAAGACTCCAACTCAAAAAAAAAAAGAAAAAAAAGAAAGAAAGACAAGTCACTCCCTCTTTATGTTTGCTAATATTTCTTGTTCTAAAATCTGATAATATAGCTACTCCAGCTTTCTTTTGATTGGTACTAGCATGGTTTATCTTTTTAATCTTATTACTTTTAACCTATGTGTGTCTTTTTTTCCCAGGCATGCTCACTGCTACTGCAGCCTCAACCTGTGGGACTCAGGTGATCCTTCTGCTTCAGCCTTCCAAGTAGCTGGAACCACAGGGGTGCACCACCATGCATGGCTACTTTTTAAAAATTTATTGTAGAGATGAGGTCTCACCAAGCTGCCCAGGCTAGGCAGTCCTCTCACTTCTGCCTCCCAAAGTACTGGGAAAATAACTTTTTTCTAGTTGCTTTTCTTTATTTTTAGCCATTAATGTTTAGTTTGAGAACATAACATTTAATAATTTTTAAAAAGCAGCAGGTCAAGTAGATATATATTAAATAATGAATAAAAAGCTAATAATCATGCAGACAGATGGCGGAGAATCTAATATTCTAATTCTCCTAATCAAACTGATGATGTCACTAGGGAAAAGAGGGTCAGTTGGAACCCGGTGTTTGGCAGTTACCAGAGGAACTGTGGCTGGGCAGAGGGTACCCAGGAGGCACTGTGGGGCCCTTAACCTCCAAAGCAGCCAACATTGTGTGTCTGGACCAGAGACACAGGACATCTTGTGACTGACAGAGTGATCCAAAATGGAGAAGGATGACCACCCACAGTTAGTGACTCCCTCATCCGTGAAAGCCATCATCTCAAGGATTGAGGCTGCCCAGCTAACTCGGGCTCAAGAGGTAACCCCTGAGGTGAAGGAATCACCCTAATAATGGGATCTGATGGGGTACTGGGGACTGATCCCAGGTTTTAGCAAGATTCCAGCTTGAAGTCCCCCAGGGTCCTGAAATACCTGGCAACCTGGTTTTGCAGAGAGATTATTACAAAGTATCCACCTCGTAGATTTGGCCTGTATAGGATAAGCTGAAATTAACCACCCTCCTGAGGCAGGGCTGGGACCTAGAAAGCAGTCTTCGGGAAATGGGCAGGAAGCTTCAGCATATCCCTGAGGCACATGGTGAAGGGTCCTAGGAGGGCAGGAAGAGGGGCTCAGATTTCTTTCTTTTTTTTTTAATGTCAATAGCTTTATGGGGTACAAATAGTTTTTGGTTACATGAATATATCGTATGGCAAAGTCTGGGCTTTAAGTGTACCCACCAGCCCTACCTGTGCACACTGTACCCAATAGGGGATTTTCTGTCACTCCATTCCTTTCCTCCTCCCCCTTCTCTGGTGTCTCTAGTGTCCATTATGTCATTCTCTATGCCTTTGCAGATCCTTAGTTTAGCTCCCACTTATCAGTGAGAACATGTATTTTGTCTTCTGTTTGGATATTAGTTCACTTAGGATGATGTTTCTAGTTCCATCCAAGTTGCTGCAAAAGATAGTATTTCATTCTTTTTTATAGCTGGATAGCATACCATGGTATACATATACCACATTTTCATTATCCACTGATCAGTTGATGGGCATTTAGGTTGATCCCACATCTTTGTAATTGTGTAGGGTTTGGGGTTTGGTTTTGTTTTAAATTTTTTGTAGAGACAAGGTCTTGCTATGTTGCCCAGGCTGGTCTCGAACTCCTGGGCTCAAATGATCCTCCCACCTCAGCCTCCCAACGTGCTGGGATCACAGGCATAAGTCACTGTGCCTGGCTCTGCAATTGTGAATTGTGCTGCAATAAACATACAAGTGCAGGGGGCTTTTTTGTATAACGACCTCTGTTCCTTTGGCTATAAGTACCTAGTAGTAGAATTGCTAGATTGAATGGTAGATCCACTTTTAGTTCTTGATAACACTCCATACTGATTTCCATAGAGATCATATTAATTTGCACTCCCACCAACAGTTCTCTTTTTACTGCTTCTATGCCAACATCTTTTTATTATTTTTTTTTAATAGTGCCCATTCTGACTAGTGTAAGGTAGTTATCTCACTAGGGTTTTAATTTGCATTTCCCTGATGATTAGTATTGTTGAACATTTTTCCATATGTTTGTTGGCCATTTATATGTCTTCTTCCGAGAGATGACTATTCATGTCATTTGCCCACTTTTTAATGGGTCATTTGCTTTTTTCTTACTGATTTGTTTGAGTTATTTGGAGATTCTGGATATTAGTCTTTCATTAGATGTATAGTTTGAAAAACATTTCTCACATTCTGTAGGTTGACTTTTACTCTGTTTATTATTTCTTTTGCTGTGCAGAAACTTTTTAGTTTAATTAAGTCCCACTTATTTATTTTTGTTTTTGTTGCATTTGCTTTTAAGGTTTTAGCCATAAATTATTTGCCTAAGCCTATGTCCTGATGAGTTTTTTCTAGGTTTCCTTCTAGGATTTTTATGGTTTCAGGTATGACATTTAAGTCTTTAATCCATCTTAAGTTAATTTTTGCATATGGTGAGAGATAGGAATCAAGTTTCATTTTTCTGCATGTAGCTATACAATTTTCCCAGCACCATTTGTTGAATGTGGTGTCCTTTCCTCAGTATATGTTTTTGTCTACTTTGTCAAAGATCAGTTGGTTGTAGTTATTTGAATTTATCTCTGGATTCTCCATTCTGTTCCATTGGTCCATGTATGTGCTCTTGTACTAGTACCATGCTGTTTTGAATATTGTAGCCTGTAGGCAGGTAATGTGATACCTTCAGCTCTGCTTTTTGCATAGGATTGCTTTGACTATTCTAGCTCTTTTTTGTTCCATATAAATTTTAGGATTGTTTTTTCTAATTCTGTGAAAAATAGTGATAGTTTGATAGGGATTGCATTGAATCCATAGATTATTTTGGGAAATATTGTCATTTTAACCATGTTGATTCTTCCAATTCGTGAGCATGGAATGTTTTTCCATTTGTGTCCTCTACAATTTCTCTAATTGGTGTTTTGTAGCTCTCCTTATAGAGATCTTTCAGCTCCTTGGATAAATATAGCTTTTTGGCTGCTAATCTATTTGATTCTCAGCTTGGTCACTATTGGTATATAGCAGTGCTACTGATCTGTGTGTGTGGATTTTGTATCCTGAGATTTTACTGAATTCATATAGCAAGTCCAGGAGTCTTTTGAAGGAATCTTTAGGATTATCTAGGTATAATATAATATCATATTGTTGGCTTATAGAGATAGTCTGATTTCTTCTTTTCAAATTTTGATAGATACCTTTTATTTTTTTCTCTTGCCTGTTTCTTTCTTTTTTTTTTTTTTGAGCTGGAGTCTGCTCTGTCACCCAGGCTGGAGTGCAGCACACTCACAGCCACCACAGCCTCAACCTGATGGGTTCAGGTGATCCTTCTGCTTCAACCTTCCAAGTAGTAGCTGGAACTACAGGCATGTGCTACCAATGCCCAGCTAATTTTTTTTTTAATTTTTATTTACTGTGGAGACAAGGTTGCCCGGGCTGGTCTCAAACCTGTGAGCTCAGGCAACTCTCTCACCTCAGCCTCCCAAAATGCTGGAATTACAGGCATGAGTCACCATGCCTGGCTTGGCCAGATTTCTTGATTTGCAGTCTATTCTTGGCAACCTGCCAGGTCCCCCAAACCGAGCCCTGGAAGTTCATGGGGAAATGGCCAAAGGCTTGAATCACCCTGTATGGAATATAGTGCATTTTTACTTGATTCTGAGCTTATCTTGTGGCCTCACTTTTCCAATCTTCTGTTGCCTCTGGATTCTTGTAAGGAGACACATCAAGAAATCCCCAGCAAGTTCCAGAATTCCAAAGATACGGTCGCTGTGGATTTTTAGTTTTCTGTCCATTTATGACCTTCTTAATAATCAGAACGATAATAATAAGAGCAAACACTTTCATTATGTGCCAGATACTGTTTAAGCACTTTGCAATATTAATTCATTTCATCCTTATGAAAACCCTGTGGCATAGGTAATACAATGGTCCCCATTTTAAAAATAAGAATATTGGGGTAACCCCTTCGGGTCCCTTCCCACTGTGGAAACTTTTCTGTCCTCTCAATAAATCCTGCTTTCTCACTAAAAAAAAATTAATTAATTAAATAAAATAAGAAAACTGAGAACCAAAGAGGACTTGTCTAAGCTCACACTGCTAGAACATGGTAGCTGACTTCAGAGCCCTAAGCACTACAATCTGCTTCCTCCATGTAGGATATTTCTACCCAGCTCTCAGACATCTTGGACAATGTCAATTGTGTCATCAATCGCTTCCAAGAAGAATTAGGATATGATTTAAAAGAAAAGGCAAAATCTCAGCAGACTGAGCAGAAGGGCAAGAAGAGATTCATCTTGCTGGAGAAAATTGCCTCCTTCTCCAAAGATGCTAAGACTAAAGAGAAGCACCTGTATGAAATTCTCCACTGGCTGGGTGACTGGGGTGAGTTTGCAGGCTGGACGCAGTCCTGAGGGCGGGTGCCTTCCCCTAAGACACAGTTCTCAGCTTGCTCAGGGTCCTCCTTTCTCTACCTAGGTCAGCATTCTTTGGGAGGGGAACATGGGCAGTGGGCACCAGAAGAGCAAAGGACACACTACAATATCCCTTCCTCAGGGAAACATTTCACTACTCATGTCACAGCATATCACCTCCATGCCCCAGAGGAGCAGACATGTCAGTGTCCAAAATGTAACAGATCATGACATTAGCTGAATATATGATGAAGCCTAAGTCACAGGTCCATTATGACAGTTTTTTTTTTTTTTTTGAGTTGAAGTCTCACTCCGTCACCCAGGCTGGAGTGCAGTGGCACGCTCACGGCCACCCCAGCGTCGACGTGCTGGGCTCTGGCGATCCTTCCACCTCAGCCTTCCACCTCAGCCTTACAGGTGCATGCTACCATGACCGACTAATTTTTATTTTATTTTATTGTAGAGATGTCTTGCCAAGTTGCCCAGGCTGTTCTCGAACCTGTGGACTCAGGCAATCCCCTCACTTTGGCCTGCCAAAGTGTTGGGATTATAGACTTGAGCTACTGTGCCCGGCCATAACATCTTTTTTTAAAGCAGGATAGAAACTAAATCCAAACCCACTCTAGCTGTTTTACAGAGGACTCTAAGGGTGATATTCAAAACACTGAGTGACCCCTGCTGTGTGGGCACTGATGCCTGCTGTAAGCAACTGGCATAGCCATTCGGGTGTGGACCAGCTGTATTCTGCCCTAAAGCCAAGTGCCAACCCCGTTCAGATCAGAGTCATCCCATCACAGGATCTGTGTGCTGTGAGGTGGGCTGGAGGCTCCAGTGTTGGAAGAGGATGGTATAGGGATGTGCCCTTTCACCCTTCTCACTGCCCTGCCACTGGGGAACTCTTAGTTCAGTGGTTCTTCAGCTGCCCTCAAGAACTAAGAGAGGCTGGATGTGGAGGCTCATGCATGTAATACCAGCACTTTGGGAGGCTGAGGTGAGAGAATTACTTGAGCCCAGAAATTCACTACTAGCCTGGGCAACATAGACCTCAAATCTACAAAAAATTTAAAAATTAGCTGGCTGTGTGGTGTGCATCCCAGGAGGTTGAGGCTGCAGTGAGCCATGACTATGCCACTATACTCTGGCCTGGGCAACAGAGGGTAAGACCCTGACTCAAAAAAAAAAAAAAAAAAAAAAAAAGATCTAAGAGAGCTGTTGCTACCCCTTGGTTAATTAAATTATTTGGATATCGGGCCAAGTGATGGTCATAGAGCCATGACAAGACAGGTGCCTCCCCGGCTGTATAGTACAGCAATATTATTTCATGTGCATTGTAGATTTCTAGATGGCAGGCCTATGTTAATTATTTTGCATGTATTATCTCATTTAATCTTCACCCAGCCCTTTTACAAGGAATGAAACTGAGGCTCAGGGGAACAAGTGACTCGTTTAGCATCATATAGTTAATAAGAGGTGAAACCAGTCTGACCTCAAAGTTGCTGTAACCCTGTGCTGTAGAGCTGCTTGGGGCTCCCTGGAAGACAGACTGTTCTTAGCCTGTACCTCCCATTCCTTCTCCAGGTGACAGTCTAACCTGTGAGATAAGGACCAGGAAGAGTGAAGAGGAAGAAGCAACCCTGGAGGAATGGGTTGAGGTGATGGAGAAAGTGTTACCTGTCTCCCTCATTGCCATCAAAGGAGGCATTGAATCACTAATTTCCCTTTGTTCCACTCTCATTGAAGATCAAAAGAAAAAGGAACAAAGTAAGTTCCAGGAGTACTAGGGAGGGAAGCTGGGTGGGGATGGGGTGGATGCCATCTCAGAGGAAGAAGTCACAGACTGGGTCTAGGGGTCTTTCTTACCCTCATCCATAACAGATGCTTTATTTGAGATGGATGGGCAGTGGTAAGGGGCTGGGGGTACTGAGCCCTGAGCAATTCTGAGATGTCTCTCAGGGTTGGAGTTAGAAGGATGATATGGAAACAGACCCTGGGGGTATTCCCTGGAGCTATGGCTTCCCGTGGATTCTGGGGAAAAAGTCTAGGCCAGAAGGGCTGGAGTTTGTAGCTGGAGCCCAAGGAACATCCCTTTCTCACTCCAGACCGAGGTGCAGAGCCAGAAAGTTGGGGAGGTTCCTCCAGCGGCTTCCTGCTTGGAATTTTACTCCCAACACTAGAAGGGGCCTGAGATTATCTAACTCCTGCATTTTAGAGACGAGAACATTAAAGCTCAGAGAAGAGAAGGAACCACAAAGAAAGCTTGTGGCAAACCAGGCCCCACTCTTAGGTTTTCTGGCTTCTTAATCTTACTCCATAGTGTGGATGGTTGGGTGTGGTGGCTCACATCTATAATCCTAGCACTTTGCCAGGCCAAGGTAGGAGGATTGCTTGAGCCCAGGAATTTTATTATCAGTCTGGGCAACATAGTGAGACTTCAGATCTACAAAAAATGTAAAAATTAACTGACCATGGTGGTGCACACTGGTCGTCCCAGCTACTCAGGAGACTGAGGCAGGAAGATCACTTGAGCCTTTAGTCCAGGAGGTCAAGACTACAGTGAGCTGGGTTTGTATCACTACACTCCAGCCTGAGCGACAGGTTGAAACCCTGGCTCAAAAAATAAAATAAAAAATATTCAAGACCAGCCTGGGCAACAGAGTGACCTCATCTATGCAAAAAATAAAAAAATTAGCCAGGTATGGCATGCACCTGTAGTCCCAGCTACTCAAGAGGCTGAGGCAGAAGGATCATTGCCTGAGCCTAGGAGGTCAAGGCTGTGGTGAGCTGTGATTGTGCCACTGCACTCTAACCTGGATGACAGAGTGAGACCTCTAACTCAAAAAAAGAAAAAGAAAAGAGAAAGAGCATGAACTTTGGAGTCAGACAGTCTTGAATTTGAAACCCATGCTAATTTCTGACTGTATGACTTTGGGCAAGTTACTTCATCTCTCTGATCCCAGATTCCTCATATATAAAAAGAGGACACTGTCCACCTGCAGAGTTGTGTGGAGGTATCTGACACCATGCTTGGGACATGATCAGGACTTAATAAACAATAGCTAACATTAGCATTTAAACATTGATTTTCAAGGCCAGGCTTATTATCAGTCAAGTAAGGTCAGTAGTGGTGGGGGAGGGGCAACACAGGGAAAAGTAAATGAGGAAGCAACCTCTCCTACCGTCTTTACCATACTACGTCTAGAAATATAGTTATGACCAGGCTTGGTGGCTCAGCCTGTAGTCCCAGTACTGTAGGAGGCCAAGACGAGTGGATTGCCCAAGCTGGTGGGTTCGAGACCAGCCTGGGCAACTTAGTGAGAACTTATTTCTACAATAAATCAAAAATTAGCTGGGCCTGGTAAGCGCGTGCCTGTAGTTTCGGCTACTTGGAAGGCTGAGGCGGAAAGATCTCTGGAGCCCAGCAGGTCAACACTGCGGTGGCCCTGAGTGTGCCATTGCACTCCAGGCTGGGCAACGGAGTGAGAGTCCAACTCAAAAAATAAAAAGAAAAGAAATATAGTTATTTGTACGCTTTATTTATTTCCTTGCTAGATTATAAACTCCTGAAGGACAAAAGTTTTGTCTTACTTATTTCTTTTTAGGGATTATTTTTTGAGTGCTTACTAGGTACCTCATACTGTACGTTGCACTACTCATGCACAATCTAATTAAGTCTTATGAAATAGACTCTATGATTATCCCCATTTTTTCAAATTACAAAACTGAAGCACTGAGAAGTTAACTTGCCCAAAGCAAGTGGGAAAGATAGAATTCAAACCCAAGATATTCGGAATCCAAATTCTGAACCACTGGGCCACATGGCCTCTCTGACATGACTAGCTAAATGCTAGCTTGACGTCAGTACTACTTAATTTCTATATTTTCTCTAGTCCCCCATCTGACATTAGCCACTGGTTTTTCTGCCACTGATGTTCACTGAATAGTCCAATGATTGGATGCTTCAAGAAAATCAGTCCACCAGCCCTGCACATAGTAAGTCCAAGAGGTACAACTCCCATCATGACCCCACATTTGAAGAACTGAGGTCTGGGGTTTGAACATGGTATGCACAACCTGTGTTTAGTGTACTTTCCTGGGGGAGAGGGTCCACTGCTTTCCTCAGAGTGTCAAAGGAGTTTGTAATCTCCCCAAAATAGAAAAAGACATTAGTCATTAAAGAAAAGTCCACATATGAACAGTGACAGAGCTATGTAATAAATTGTCCCCAGTCACAGTTCAGTGGTAATAGGAAAGGGAAACGAAGCTTCCTGGTTGACCTTAAGGGGTTTGGGTAGTTGGCAGTGGGGAGGCAAACACAGAAATGAGACTGGGCAGTGGTATGACTGGAAAAATAGCCCTGCTCCATGAGAACGTGGAGGATTAGGAGTCTGTTGAAATGAGTTGAACTGGATTGACTATCCCAGGCTTCTCTGGGCTCTGCAGGTACTGTGGGGCTGGAAGACTTTGAGAGTAGGCTCTAGGCAAGCTCTGGGCCCAGCAGAGTGCTCTCCTGGCAATAACCTACCCAGCCTCACATACAGCCCCAGCTCCTAATTCTTGCCAAATCCCTAAGATGGTTGGCATTTTGACCAAGCAGGGTCTAGAGAACCAGGGTAATCCTTGGGACCCATGAGAATTTGTTACCTGTTTTCTCTTTACCTCTCCCAGTGTCCAAACACACCTTCTGGCAGAACTGGCAGGAAAAAAGTCCACAAAAATGTACACCCCACCCTCAGTCACTAAGCCCAGAGCAGATGCTCCAGGACAAGCACACCACCCACACAAAGGTCTCCGAGGTGAAGTCCATGCTGCAGGAGCTCCTGGACTCCACCATGTTCAGCAAGGGGGAGGTCAAGGCCATCAGGTACATGTCCTCCGTAGTAGAGAACCTCAACAAGGCCTTGATCCTCCAGCACAAGGAGAACAGGAGCCTGGAGACCAAATACAAGCATCTGCAAACCAAGATGACCAAAGAACTCAGCAGTCAGAGGCTATACTTCCAGAAGTCCATCCAAGTCCTCGAGAGCAAGAGGGATGCTCTACTGATGCAAGTAGACATCCTAGGGGGAAAGTACCATGACCTGCTCCTGGTAAAGCATGGCTTAGAGTACCAACTGAAGAAGGTCCAGACTGTTAGAGGCCAAGCAGAAGACCCAACTGAGGTTTTTGTGGATTCCCCAGAACCCCCTGAGAAAGAGACCCTCACAAAGAAAGAAGCAGTCATGGAGGACACCCAGCAGGAACCCAAGAAGGAGGAGCCATTGTTTTCAGCCCTCTTCCCATGTCCCATGACCACGGCCTGGGATGGTGGTGCCACACCTGCAGCACACCAACCACTCACCACCATGACCATGGTTTCGAGGATCGCAGATGTGTTCAGCAAGGACCCCAAAAGCCTCGAGCCTGTGTTACTAACCTCTGTGGGTCCTACGATTCCTAAAAAATGGGAAGGACTGGTGGTAGAAAGCCCAGGTCACAAAGACAATGACCAGGAGGACTACTTCCAGGAGAAGGAAGGGCTCCAAGTGAATTTCCATTTTAGGAAGCAGCTGTCTCTGGACAGCTCTAGGAAGGGGCCCTCGGAGGGCCAGGCTGAGCACTGGGAGGAGGAACTCCGCTGGGAGAAGCAGAGGCAGCAGTGGCTGGAGGAGGAAGAGATGTGGCTGCAGCGGCAGAAGAAGTGGGCCTTGCTGGAGCAAGAGCACCAGGAGAAGCTGCGGCAGTGGGAGATGGAGGACGTGGCGAGGGAGCAGCAGCAGAGATGTGTCCAGCTAGAAAAGGAGCAGGAGGGCCTGAGAAGAGAGCTGGAGCAGCCAAGGGAGGACATCGAGAGGATGGTCTTCACAACCACCAGTCAGTGGAGGGACTTGGAGAAGACAGAGCCGCCACTAGTGTCTCCCCTATGCCGGTCCCAATCTGCTCACCCAGGCAGGAGGCCACACTTATCCAGGTCCCCTAATACCTGGCAGGAAAACCAGAGACCTATGAGTTCAGCTGAGCTTACCCATAAACCCCAGGTCCGCCGTACTCTCACGAAGCCCAAGAAATCTTCCTCCTTCCCCATCATTGGGACATCCATTCGAAGGGTGAGCCGGCCATCTCTGCAGATCTCCCCGGTGACTCTTAAGGAGAAGGTGTACCACCTGGACATAGAGGCCCAGAGGAAGAATCTGCAGCTCCTGAGTGAGAGATCTGAACTGGGCCTGCCCCACTGCCTGCGCATCAAGGCGCTGGAGCTCACCTCTACCACCATGGAGCTGAACGCGCTCAGGCTGAAAAGCCTGTGCCACAAGTACATCCTCTACAGACACTTCCAGAGCCTCCGGTAGGTCCTCCCACACCCAGTGTGACATGCAAAACCCAGGGGAAGAGAAGGGGAGTACAGGGCAAGGTGGGATGGGGAGAGTCACCCCAGGTCTTCACAAGAGCTCCTGAGGGAGGAGACTGGGCAAGGCATTTCTGACCTGGGCTCTAGGGCACCTCCTGAGGGGGAAGAGGGGGAGGGCTTACCTGCCACTCTCCCTATGGGGCATTTCCTCAGAGCCACTTCTCTACTTCCTCCTCTCTTCCTATTGCCCTGTCCATAACCCACCTGTACACTCCCCCATTTTGCTTTACTTTCCCTTCCTGTTTCCATCTCAGCCCAGAGGCTCCTCTCGATATACCACCTCCCACTTTTCTGCACCCTGTTTTCCCTGGATTTTGCCAACCTCCATTTCTCTTCTTGCTCCCAGGAATCACAGAAAACAGAATCATCTCTGGTTAACAGACTTGGGAGAGGAGGAGGCCTCTCCATCCTCTGACTTGCTTCTCCTTTCTTCCAGACAAGAAGTGACTGATCACATACAAAACATGAGAGAAACGGGGGTTACCTACAAGGCTCAGAACCCCTACATCTTCCTGGAAAACACTGACCGCCTGCAGAACCTCAGACTGCAGGCCTGGACAGATAAGCAGAAGGGCCTGGAGGAGAAGCGCCAAGAATGTCTGAGAAGCATGGTGACCATGTTCCCCAAGGTGGGCCTCCACACTGCCACCTTCCAGAGGGTCAGCACAGTCAGTAGGGATGGAGAAGGCAGTGAGGCAGTGGGATGTGAGATGGCTGGGGAACAGGGCACAGATGGGAAATGAGAGGGCAAGTGAAAATCGCTGAACCAGGAAAAAGTGAAGACAGAGGTGGCTTGAGTGAGAGGGAGACTGGCTTTCCATTCTGTGTATTTGGGGAGAGTGAGAGAGAAAGAGAGAGTCTCTTCAAAAAGATCTTTGGGGCCAGGCCTGATGGCTCATGCCTGTATCCCAGCACTTTAGGAGGCTGAGGTGGGAGGATTGCTTGAGTTCAGGAGTTTGAGGCTGTGGTGAGCTGTGATCCTGCCATTGCATTCCATCCTGAGCAATAGAGCGAGAACCTGACTCATTAAAAAAAAAAAAAAGGTAATGGAAATGAAGATTCTTCCAGAGGGGTGGGGTAGCCAGATCCTGTAGTCCTGATGTTACCAAAATGCCAGGGGGTTATTAGGTTGAGAGCACAGAAAGCCAATCACTGAGACAACAAGTATTACAAGGGAAGAAGGCTTTTAATTGGGGTGATATCAGCCAAGGAGAAGGGAAATCAGTCTCAAATCTCAAATGATTGAAACTGGGGGTTTAATGTAGTGGGGGGAGTCATATAAAACAGCGATTAGGGAGGGGTAGGAAGCAACCAGGTAAAGTGAGGGGTCTTGCATTTCATTCTGGATGCAATGTTCTGGTGAGGTTCAGTCCCTTGCCTGAGTGTTGGTCTCCTGAGGAAGGAACTCAGATAAGACAAATGTAAGTTTAGGTTTTAAGACCAGGAGGGTCAATTTCTATGTCTACTCAAGACCCCCATAAATATCCGTTCTGTGGGGAAACGGGACTGGTTTCACTGATTGTGCTGGGCTTCTCCCTCTCCTGTGGTTCTGTGCCCTGCTCCCGTCAGTTCCAGTTGCTTTCCAAGCTCCGTACTCAACTGTGATCTTCACTGTCATGTGGGGACTGGCTTTGCTTCTCCCCTGGGTTCACTCCTTTGCTTTCTAGATCCCAGGCCTCCTCTTTACTGGTTCATTTCCTCATTTTAGTGACTCCTCCAGTCACTTTCTAACAAAGCGTACATGGGATGTTAATCTTTGAGATCCTGGTTGTCTGAAAATATCTTTCCTTAATATCTGTCCTTATTCTTAATTGGTCGTTTGCCTGTATATGGAAGTATAGGTTAGGGTCCATCCTCCCTCACAATTTGGAAGGCATTGCCTATTACCACCTAGGTTCTGGTGTTGCTGTTGGGAGCCCAGAGTCACTCTGACTCCCCATCCTTTGGGTTTGGCCTGTGCTTACTCTTTGCAAGCCAACAGGATCTTTCTGTCTCCATTGTTCCATAGTTTCATAATGATATGCCTGAAGTGGACCTATTTTTGTCTACTTTATTGGGCATTCGGTTAGTTTTTTTAATTTGAAAACTTATATCCTTTAGTTCTGAAATGTTTTCTCAAATTATGCATTAGATCAGCAGTTCTCAAGATGTGGCCTGCTGATCCCTGGAGATATTCTAGACCTTTTCAGTAGCTCTGTGAGGGCAAAACTGTTTTTATTATATATTTATTTTAAGTAAATTTTATTGTATACATTGATGTTATAAGGTACATAAATGTAGGTTCAGATTGCTGGGTGTGGTGGCTCTTACCTGTAACACTCTCTGTGGGAGGTGGAGGTTAGAGGATTACCTGAGCCCACAGGTTCAAGACAAGGTTGGGCAACATGGTGAGACATCATCTCTACAATAAATCAAAAAATTAGCCAGTTGTGGTGGCACATGCCTGTAGTTCCAACTATTTGGAAGGCTGAGGTGGAACGATCGTCTGAGACCAGCAGGTCAAGGCTGTGGTGGCTGTGAACGTGCTACTGCACTCCAGCCTGGGTGACAGAGTGAGACTCTGACTCCAAAAAACAAAAAATGGAACTGGGTGTGTTGGCTCAGCACTTTAGGAGGCCAAGGTGAGAGGATTGCCTGAGCCCAAATTCTCAGCACTTTGGTGAGACTTCGTCTCTACAATAAATCAAAAAATTAACCAGGTGTAATGGCTCATGCTTGTAGTTCCAGCTACCTGGAAGGCTGAGGTGGCAGGATTGCCTGAGCCCAGCAGGTCAAGGCTGCAGTGGCTGTGAGCATGCCACTGCCCTCCTCCAGCCTGGGTGATGGAGTGAAACTCCAACTCAAAAAAAAAAAAATTGTTCAGATCCTTTGACCATTATAAAATTAGTTTATATGTTTTCTTGCTATTGAGTTGTAAAACTGTTTTTTTTGTTGTTGTTTTTTGTTTTTTTTTTGAGTTGGAGTCTCATTCCATCACCCAGGCTGGAGTGCAGTGGCACACTCACGGCCACACCAGTGTCGACCTGCTGGAGTCTAGAGATCCTTGCCCGGCTGGTCTCAAATCAGTGGGCTCATGCAATCCCCTCACCTCAACCTCCCAACATGCTGAGATTACAGGCTTGAGCCACTGAGCCTGGCCCTGGTTTGTTTTTAAAGGAGTGTGTGGTGGAGAAGAATGTGGTGACCCCTAGAACAGTCTGGTGCCACTGCCCTGATTCTTGCTCATGTGTTGGCAGCTTTACTCACCACTGCTTTTGTACCATCAGTGAAATGTCAACACAGTGAAAATGGCAGTAAAGTCTTACTAGCATAAAAATAGTTTTATGGCCCAACTCGGTGGCTTAGCCTGTAATCCCAGCCCTTTGGGAGACCAAGGCCAGTAGATTGCCTGAGCCTGTGGATTTGAGACCAGCCCAGCCAACTTGGTGAGACTTCGTCTCTATGATAAATTAAAAATTAGCCAGGTGTGGTAGCCTGTGATTCTGGCTACTTGGAAGCCTGAGGTAGAAGGATCGTCAGAGCTCAGCAGGTCGACACTGGGGTGGCCGTAAGCGTACCTCTGCACCTCAGTCTGGGCAAAGGAGTGAGACTCTAACTTTAAAAAATGTTAAAAAAAAAACCCAAAAAACAGCCAGACTTGGTGGCTCAGCCTGTAATCCCAGCACTTTGGGAGGCTGAGGTGAGTGGATTGCCTGAACCTGCGGGTTCGAGACCTGCCTGGGCAACTTGGCAAGACCTCATCTCTACAAAAAAAAAAAAAAAAATTAGCCGGGCGTGGTAGCGCGCACCTGTAATTCCAGCTACCTGGAAGGCTGAAGCGGAAGGATCCCCGGAGCCCAGCAATTTGAGGCTGCGGTGGCCGGAAGCGTGCCACTGCACTCCAGTCTGGGTGACAGAGTGAGACGCCAACTCAAAATAAATAAATAAATAAAATAAAAATAAAAATAAATAAAAATCCCCCAAAACCCAAAGACAGCTTCACATACAAATTTAGGAATATTAGATGAAGCAGTAAAAATTATTTATCGCAACCCTCGAATGCACATCTTTTTCATGTTCCTATGTGACAACTTGGGAAATAAACATAAAGCACTTCTGCATAGAAATGTACAAGGACTCTCAAGGAAAAGGAATTGGGGATTGAAAACTGAGCTGGCTGTTTTTTTCATGGAGGCACCATTTTTACTTGAAAAAAAGGACTAACAGACAACCTATGGTATTTGATAGATATTTTCCCAAAAGTGAAAAAGGCAGTTTTCTTCTTTTTTGAGGTGCAATCTCTCTCTGTCGTCCAGGCTGGAGTGCAGTAACATCATCATGGCTCACTGCAGCCTCAACCCCCTGGGCTCAGGCAATCCTTCTGCCTTAGCCTCACAAGTAGCTGGGACTACAGGCACACACCACCATGCCCAACTAATTTTTTTCTTTTTTGTAGGGTCGAGGTCTTGCTCTCTTGCCTGGGCTGGTCTCAAATTCCTGGGCTCAAGCAATCTTCCTGCCTCAGCCTCCCAAAGTGCTGGGATTACAGGTGTAAGCCACCATGCCTGGCCTATTTTTTTAAAAGCAAAAAATAAAGAACTGACAGTATTATTTGTTATCAATTATAGAATTTCTGCTTCCAAGAGAAAATTTAGGATTTGAGAAAACTTGTGTTCACTACCATGAACTTGATACACTTCCAATATTTAAAGTCTTCCCTGATAAAACTGGTGATGATATTAATAAATGTGATTTTTTGGTTATCATATAATGAAATGTGTCAGCATTTGGCAGAGCTGCACATCCCTATGATCCAGTATCTTCCAGATGACCAAATTCATGATGTTATAGAATTGTGCTTTTCTAAAGATTCATTCTAGTTTCAAAATAGACCAATACGCTTTAGCCTGACGGTATGAAATGTTCACTGATATGATTTCAGGTTTCATAATGCAACTCACCTTTAAGAAACTGTCACTTGGCTGGGTATGGTGGCTCATGCCTGTAATCCCAGCACTTTGGGAGGCCGAAGTGAGAAGATTGCTTGAACTCAGGGTTCAAGACCAGCCTGGGCCACTTGGCGAGACAATAAATCAAAAAATTAGCCAGGCATGGTGGTGTGTGCCTATAGTTCAAGCTACTTGGAAGACTGAGGTGGAAGGATTGCCTGAGCCCAGCAGGTCGAGGCTGTGGTGGCTGTGAGCACGCCACTGCACTCCAGCCTAGGCGACAGAGTGAGACTCTGACTCAAAAAAAAGAGAAAGAAACCGCCACTTGTCGAGTTCTGGTGTAGTACCAAAGAATAATGTCCACAGTTATCTGGGAAGACTATGAAATACTCCCCCCTTATCCAACTACATATCTGCTAAGGCTGGCTTGCCTTCATAGTCTTCAAACGAAATGGTATAATGCAACAGATTGAAAGCCGAAGCCAGATCTTAAATCCCTGCTATCTTCTAGTAAGCCAGGCATTAAATAAATTTGTAAAAAATGTACAATGCCACTCTTCTCACTAAATTTATTATGGTTTAGAAAATACATTTCTTTTACATTGAAATATTTTACTTATATTAATATATAATTTATTATTGATTCTTAATGAATTTATACATGTTTTTTAATTGTCTGGTTTAATATCTAGCATAGTAAA